CCGCCGCTCATATTTCAACACCTGTGCCTACCATTTTTCTCCCTTAACTTTTGCCAATACCCCACCTCCTCTATTATGCCTTTAATTATATAGTGTCACAAGTAATAACTTTGTATTTCATTTTATTTATGGTTAGGTCTTCTGTGATTTGCCTATTAATTGTAAATTTAGAAAATCAACATTTACATTATTATGACTTTTCTCACTTTGAGCTGAGTTGAATGTCTTAGTCATTATAGATCTAAAGATCCAATGCACTAAATGCACTACTTTAAGGAATACTTCTTCTATTGATGGAAAGGTATAGATCTACAGAGCTAATGTATTAAATATACTACTTAAAGGGTATATTTCTATTAATGGAAAGAGATACAAAGTTACATTGCAGACAGATGATGTGAATATAGAGAGAAATGTATATGTGGGGATAAATTGTAATTAATCTAAGCATTATTCACCTCTTTAAGAGCCAATAAAACGATCTATTTATATTCCACTTTTCTCTCTAATTAATGATGATACATCTGTTTCACTTTTCTTTTTACCCCCATCTCCTAGCCTTTGATATATGATAGCCTTAAGTAGAAAGTAGAGGTGTTTTTTAATGCATCTCATATGTTCCAAATAGTAAAGTTTGCTGATTATTTTTTATAAAGGGAAAACATACTTAATTTCCAAAAGGCTTTAAAGCTGACTTCCTTTGTAATTTGCTTATGGTCAAGCTTGCTGTTGCCTTTGATCTCAGAAAATTACCAGATGCTCAGCAGAATGGAGCAGCTAGTAATAAATGTGTCAGGTAGTTGACAACACAGATGTCTGAGTGTGATGTTTTGGCCATAACTGATGCCGATCTTGCCACTGAAACACAGGAGGCTCAGCTAGCTCTGCTGACCTTTGCACACCAGGTATGGATTAACTTCTATGTCAATAGAGTACCATGGCAGTTTTCAACCAATAGATACACAATTCACAGTGAGAGATGTTCAGATAATATTTTTCCTTATAAATCTACACAAGCACAAGCTGAAATTTGGTCTACAATATTTAGAAAAAAATGGATGATTTATTCTTGTATCTTGGCTTGTATGCCTATGACTCTGAGGAGTAATGTTTAGATGTTTTTTGCTAGCAATTGTACTGTTACTCAAGTGAGAATTGTGTAACTGAAAGGGGGAAGTGATGCTTAGCAATCAAGTGATCTAACAGAATGGAAAAATCCTGTAGATTATTAAATCTAATGTGATTGTAGGATTTGTGAAGATGTTTTGAACTTGATTTTTTCATATAAATAAGGTTTGTGTAATCTTCTCTGCAGGATAAAGTTTCAGAATATAATGTTTGGGGCATTTCCCCAAAATTAGACATGCACAACTAATAGTTCTCAGGGTAAATTCCCAAAAATTAACTCCCAGTGGTTTCTTCTCATACATTGCTATTCCTAGTACTTCCCTTTAGCCACAAAACAGTTACTTGGGTGTTGAGTTCTTTGTTGTACAATTTAAAATATTATGTTTTCTTAGTTATTAATCTATTTTCAATATTCTAAGATGGACTATTGGTTGATCATTTTTTCCATATTTTAGAAATTACCAGTGGTCAGATTGCCCAGTTACTGCCAGAATTTTTTTTTGTTCTGCAGAACAGCACTTAAAGTTGAGAAATCATGTCATATTTTAATTTCACTTCTCCCTCATGAAAACTTATTACATGTGCATGCATGTGCACAAGCACACACACACACACACACACACACACACACACACCCTTCAAACAATGGATGGCTATTTTATGAAAGACATAAAAATATATAAAAAGTAAATTTAAATTGAGTCACTAAAGCTTTCTTTTTTCTTTGTAAGGTTAAAACAGGGTCTGGATATATAGGCCAAACTGGCTTTGAATTTCTAATTCTGACTCAGCCTCCTGAGTGTTCGAATTACATGTGTGATCTTCACTTCTTTTTTAAAATATATTTTTCCATATTTTAAATAAAATTACCTCACCTCAATGCCCCTTTTCTTCCCTCCAGCATCCTATTTTATTTTAATTTAAAAGTGAAAATCAACATGGATCCAAATTTTTTCATTGACATACCAAGATACTGGTCTTTACTGCTGCCATGATCCAACCATTCTCAGTGCATATTTTGGTTCCACGAACCTTGTTTAATATGCTAGTGGACATATACCCTATTGCTAGAAAATGTGAATTTATCACTGACATACATATCCATTAACTGTAGGACCCTTGCTTATCAATTATCTTTCCTTGGATAGTTTTCTTATCAACAAGATTAAGATTAAAATGTCTACATTGTGACGTTGCTGAGGGAGTATCTGAGGTATGCAAAAAATGTTTGGTATAGTAGTAGCTCAATAAATGCTTGCTATTTCTATTATTACCATTTGCCTTAGGTGCTATTCTTTTCATCCATGATAACATCAGAAAACGTGTGTTCACAGCTCCATGCATTACCTAGACAGTAACAGCTGTAACTGATGGACCCATTAGAATAACTCTCTTGCAAAAAGACAGGATGTCTGCTAGCCAGATTCACCCTTGAGTTCAATAACACAGACACAAGGAAAGCATACTGGATTCAACACCTAAGCAAGCTTTAATAGCTGTTTTTAAAAGTTATTCCCAGATCATCTTCTCCCCCAAACTATTCATATACAATGGCTGCAAGTATTCAAATTTCATAAACACAATATTGCAAAAGCAAGAAAAACTAAGAAAAGCATGTATAGCCTTACTTTCTCATTTGATACTTGTTACTAAATACAAATCTCAATATCTGTTACTAAATTCCAAGAAATAAATGCTGAAAGAGCTATGCTGGCAGCTGGCAGCTGGGAGCTGGGGGCTTGGGAGGAAAAAAGAAGGAAGTTTTCAAACAAGAAGCACATTGCACTCATTTTCCATCTCAAAACCAGAATAACACAGGGTGGATCTCTATTTTGGGAACTATGTTTGTGTCTTTAGAAAACTGGAGAGACATTCTTGGAGTAACAAACAGAGAGACATTATTTAATAGCATTTGGGGACATATGTTCAAATTCCATGTAACTGATGTCTCCCTCTACCTCAAACTTCGCTCCAAATAATTAAAACTATGCACACAGTATCTTACTCATTTTAATTATACAAAGAGAATATATGTTCAATGATTGAACTAATGTCTAGGGTACAACATGAAGGGGATGAACCTTTCTAAAGGAGGAACATTTATTGTGGTGCCATGTGCACATCTAGGAAGATCTTATTTGCCGAATCCAACCTTCAGTGTTCTAAGGATGTTAGCAGAATACAGGCAGAAAAGTAATATAAGGGACATCGGAGCTCTCACTTCATCTAGTCCCTTCAAAATGCCCGCATAACATCAAAATTTGGACCAGAATTGAAAAGATTCAACACTATATGAAGTCAAAACAAGATGACTCTGAATGCCTCTTTCAATTATATGCAATATATACACCACAGAAATGGAGGATGAAACATGACCACTGTGAGACCCCTTCCCCTGCCTCTTCCTTTTGAGTGTACTGTATTTTCTCTTCTGTTGTTTCCACACTTCCCCTTCTCTGCACTAAGACCTCTGCCCTTTCCTCTGCTCTTTATTCCTCATTGCCAAAGCTGTATAGCTATAAATATTTGTATCCTCGGTGGTGGGGCAATCATAACTATTTTTAAAGAACTTGTGACTATTCTAGCAGTGATTTAGACTCTGTTTTGTGCTTCTGACTACCCATCAAATATTGGGTGTGATTTCACTATTTGAGGGTTACAGTTTCTATGATTTATATTTCCGGAAAATGGTGACGCTGGTAATAGTGGTGATGAAAATACTGTAGTAAAAACAACTTATTATATACACACATGAGATTTATTTGTGTAGGCATTAAATCAAAAAGAATAAATGGATTCTAAGCAGGATACGTATTATCAGATACACATTTGCTAGAATTCAGTTCAAATTTCACAGACCATTTCTGGCAATAAACAGATGTGTTTTTCTTTCAGTCTTATGGACTAGGACTAGAAGTGTTAGCCAGCAGCATCATAGGAGTTTAGGTCTCTGACTTCATCTCCCCTGCCTCCAAATAACAGCAGGGTAAATACACTAAACCAGGCTATCCCACTGGTTTTCTTCCCCCAGGGGAATCAGAATCCTCTGATCTGTAAAAGTAACAGAAGGATAATTTTGTCTCTGATCTTAAGTTAATTCCCTTGTGACATTGTGTAGTTCTAAATGTTTCCATTTGTTTGTTCACTCACTCATTCATTCAATAAACTGACCTTGAACCCCACTCTGCCAAGCACCTTGCTAAATGCAGACTGCTACCTTAACTCCAGCCAGTCTAATGTTCCTTTGTAGGAATAATCTTTGACACAGTTAAGCTGTTGTGCTGGTAAACTGGAAAGCACTTCCACGTCAATACTGTCACTAGGAAGTATTAAGTCACTGCCAGCATCATTATTTCTTCCATAAAAATCACTCTCCTTTTGCATAATGCTAACTAATGTTAAAAATGAAACAAAAATGAGGATTGATAAACTACTCTTTGTAGTACTCTCTTGTAGGAGAGGGCAGAAAAATTGATTGCTGAGACAACCTGGTATTAAATACGAAAAGATTACCACACATGGAGTCAAGTGGCATAGATTGGGTTTCAGCTTCTGAATGTGAAGGAAGGTGCTGAAATTATTTGAGCTTCTATTGTTTATCCAAAAATGAGTCCCAGATAATTCTTGACTAACCCTCTTCTGGCATGGCAGAGGGAAATGTGACATAAAGCAACATAATAATGTTTGTAAAAGTGCTGTGAAGGCCGTGAAGCTCCATGCAAATGTGACCTAGCAAGCAATCTTTGCAATTCTTATAAGGGGGTGGCTATGTCATCATCGTTTCCTTTTCTCCTCCTTTCTTCAGAGAATGGGGCTCATCTAGTCAACCAGCAATATTGGGGCATTTGGCAGCATACACTTATTTCGTCATAAAAGAGCCGAGTTAGAAGTTTTCCTTGTTGAAAATAAAATGCACCCCACGAGGGCCGGACTCGGAGTTGGAGATGCTTTGTTTGTTGAGGGTTTTAGCCAAGGCTTCAGGACCACAGAGGAAAACTCCTATTCTGGTGCTTTTGAGAAAGAAAAGAAAGTTTCAGGCTTTGGCATGAGTTGAACAACAAAGTATACAGGTAAATTTTCTATGAAGTAGAGCCCCTTCTAGTCCTATGTTTTCCACAAATGAGAAAAAATGTTCACATTGATCACAAGGAGGAGGCTTAATTCTGATTGTAGGCTCAGCTGGAAAACTCAAAAGTGGTTGATACCCCCAGAAAATGAAATCCAAATAGAGATTTTGGAAATTTCTACCACAAGAATATCAGGGCTAATATGTGAAGCAACAATGTACTTTTCTATAGGACTCTAGTCCCCCACCCAAATCTTTCTAGTATACTAAAATCAGTAACAAACCCTCATTGGGTACCCCAACTCTGACAGCAGCTTCATCCCTTTAAGTTTTATAGTTGAAATCCTTGCTTTTCAAAATGTGGTCTCACGCCATTTTTTTTTTAAAGCACCATGTTTTTTTTTTAATAATGCAGGTTCCTAGGCCCATTTCACACCTAATAAATCAGAGCCTGTATGTAAAAACATAGCAAGGGATATATTTGCCATTCAAAGAGCGGAAAGCATGGTGCAAATAAAGCAGGTGTACCAAACCTGGGGCCAATGGGCCACATGTGTATCAAAACAGCTGTGCATGCAGCACAACACATTTGTAGATGATGTTGCCATGGCAAGTCAAAGTGTTTGCCACATCTATTCAAAAAGATATATTTATGGCAAGCTCATGAGTTTTTCACGTGTTCTAGGAGACAAGGGAATTTCCTCAAGGTTTCATGATTGATAAAACTGTAGTGACACCAGAAAGAAACTTGTGTCATCTGTCAACTTCTGATTTGACTCAGACACTTGAACTGAAAGTGAAGGTATAATATTCTTAATAATAAGCATAAGCAGTCCTCACTACTTAAACATATACACTAGGGAAATTTGGGCAACTAAACTAGAGAAATTCTATGGTGCAGCTTGGATTAGGACGTTGAGAGGACTACTCTCCACATAATTTTGCTATGATTTAAAGATTGTTTCTTAAAGTCAGAGATATCAGACATCTGTTGGAGAAGAACTCAACCCCATTACAGTATTATGGAAATGTTAATGCTAACTTTTAGACTATAAAGGACAGTCAGTGCTCGGAGCTGCTGCTTTCTGGCAGACCACAAGTTTCAAGACCACACTGCTTACTTAGGGTGTTGACTTGCAATTGTCTTGAATTCATTATCCCAGTTGGGTCGTCCATACTGAGTCTTTTGTTTTAGGCCTGTGATTACATCTTTCTCCTCATCGTGGTGTACAGCAAAGTGATTAGCCTGTTACAAAGGACATATATTCAGAAAAAAACAGAAAAATATGGTATAACACACATTTTACAAAACAAGCTCTTACCACTCATCACATACACAAACACGCACGCGCGCACACACACACAAACAGGTTATGATGATAAGGGGTGAAGAAAGGGAATGAAAGGGTCCTCTATACCCATCTGCAATCAAGATTCAATGCTAGACTTATGGATATCAATAAGTCAGTGCTTTATGAGACAATGGTATAATCAATGGTCAGTAACTCCTTTTACAGAAGGTGCCTTTGTAAAAAGCTTTGTAAGTTCGGGTGTAAAAGAGACAACATTTGAAGCAAAACATCCCCTGCATTAAAGTGAAAAATCCTCTTTTGCAATCCAAATAAGGCCAACCTAAACTTGAAAGTAAACGAGAAAGGAAATAGAATATAAAGATGATATAACATAATGAGAAGAATAACTGTGCCCCGGATGAAACGTGGCCTTGATGCATTACAAAAGCCCCAGGTGCCTACAGACCTTCACTGCTGGCCCAGTTAGTGTAGGCGGGTAGTAGAAAAGTTGAAAAGAGATGAATTTCAAATGCTATGACAGGAAATCTCCCAGCTGCCTGTAATTCATTTCCAAGTGCTGATCTCCCATTGTCGGGTCAAAAAGAAATCAGCCCCAGTCTTTCAGTAAGTGATCTAGAGCCGCAGACGTTTGTGAGTCATGGCAGGGCTCAAGATGAACCAAGGGCCGGGACTCTGAACGGCTATGGAGCCAAAGGGACACCAATGACAGGAACACAGTGAACCTTTCTGTCCTGGTCCTAAGCTAACAAAGCTAAGAGGTCAACTTATTCCTTCCAGTCTTTGACACACCCTGACCTCAAGGTCACATAGAGCAAGTTTTAGCTGGTTGCAAGGTTAAACCAAATAATACTAAAGTTATCTATTTCCTCCTTGATTGACTCAAAAGTTCTGTTTTTGCCTTCAAGGATTGTATTGCCTTCTAAGAAAAGCAAACTGTATACTCCAGGGAACCTGACCTAGTTTCCTTTCATGTTGACGTCATAAAGTTTGATAAAATCTACTTAGGAGAGAAAGGGTTTATTTGGTTCACAATTCCAGATTACAGTTCACCATTGTGGAGAAGGCAAGGTGGAAGGAACTGGAAACAGCTAGTCATATTACAGTCAAGAGCAGAAAGAAATACATACACGCATGCTGCTTGCTTTCTGCTTCTATGCAGTTTTCTCCAGTCCTGTACAGTTCAGGACTTCCTGCCCAGGGAATGGTGCCACTGGCAATGGCCCGCATCTTTCCACATCAATTAGCAACTAAGACAATCCCCCACAGATATGCTCCTAGGCCAATTTGATCTAAATATTTACTCAATCAATTGAGATTCTCCTCCCAGGTTGACATTTAAAACTAATCATTATAGGCCCTAATGAGGCTTCATACAGAATTTCTTAACATTGTCAACCATAAGATGTTTATATTGCTAAGTGTTCTGTGAGGGAGGATATATTGCATTCAGTTGAAGACAACTAACTTATTTTATTTTATTTTAGTAGTCTCCAAATATTTTTCATCACACATCCATATATAATATATATCCAAATTGTTCTCCATTATATAGGTAGTTTTATTTAATTTGTTTAATTTATTTAATTTGTTTTTTATTTAATTTGTTATTAATAAAACAACAAATTGCTGAGAGTTGCTGACTGCAGGTTCCGGAGCAGTCAGGCAGCCATTTACTTGTTGGATGCCTTTAAGCAAATAACCTACTCAGTTCTAAGCTTTTGACTCTAATGAGACAATAAATTTGACAAATAAAATTAGACAATCCACACAAGCACTAAAAACAATGCCTGGGGACTGGACGGTGGGGGCAGACACCCTTAGTCCCAGCATTCTGGAGACAGAGGCAAGCAGATCTCTGTGAGTTTGAGGCCAGTTTGGTGTACAAAGTGAGTTCCAAGACAGCAAGGACTGTTAGGCAGAAAAAAACCCTGTCTCAAAAAAACAAACAAACAAAACAACAACAACAACAAATGCCTGGAACAGAATTCAGACTCTGCAAAGCATTAGTTGTATGACCCGAAATCCATAAATGTTCACGTCTCTTACAAACTTTAAATCATATCTAGATACTCATGACACTTGCGACAACATAAATCCTATGTAACTAGTTCTTATACTATACTTGAGAGCAATTACAAGAAAAAGACAGTATATGTTCAGTATGATTACTTTTATCCCAAATATTTTGATTAGGTTAATGATATATAAAGAGCAGAACCTCAGATAGACGGAGAGCTGACTGCATATAAATTTATTGAATATAGCATAAAACATGTATAACATAAATTAATGTACAAGACAAGGATAGACTTTTCTTCTCATTTCCATTTTGTGTTTTGAGATTCCTGCTCCTTGGTGGGAACAGTGTTCTAATGTCAGCACAGGCCCCTTAGTTTGGAATCAAGTCTCAATGGTTTAAATATTGTGACGGCGCTACTGAGTGAGTGTGAGCAAGCTGGGTCACTTGAATCCATTAGCTGTCCCTGGGGAAAAATGCCGTGCACAGAACATACCAATAGGTAAAAGGAAGCCAGCAAGCTCTGGGCATGCTAAGAAAGCCTGAGAGCTGTCACCTTGTCCTCACCTGAGCATCATCCCAGCCAGTAAGGTAGATGTTGTAGCTGAGGAAGTCGGCGTTATTCCTTTCCTGCATTTGGGTCTCCAGCAGCTGCAGCAGGTCTGCAAACCACTCAAAGGCATGTGTGTCCCTGTACAGCCAGTAGAAGTAGATCTGGAGAAGGAGGGGACACAGATCGGATTATATAAGGGGTAGTCTTTATCACCTTCAAAGAATGGGTTTCTAATGCTCTCAACCTTTTCATGATGCCCACAAGGCCTAGAAACAGGGTTTCAGAAATCTGATGGTATTTGTCATTGTTTCAAGACAGGCTCTTTAATATAGAGCTGGTTCCAAACTCGGCATCCTCCTGTTTCTGCCTCTCAAGTGCTGGGGTTACAGATGTGTATTACCACACTGTGGACTTGTTACACAAACCTTCTTTGTCCTTCCAGCACAAAGATCAGGAAGTAGCATTTGGAAGCTACTGGCAAGTTGGTTCAGTGAGTAAGAGTGCTTTCTGCTCTTCCAGGGGATGAAATTCTGTTCCCATCACCCATGTCAAGTGGCTCACAACTGCCTGGTACTGTTTCTCAAGGGCATCTGCACTCTTCTAGCCTCTAGCAGCACCTCTATATATCACACACAGATGAGCACACACATTAATTAAAATAAATATTTAAAAGTAAATCAATAAATTGATGGTTTAGTTAATACATAGCTAATCCCCATCTTGTGGTTCTCTAGCTTCCCTGTGTCAGATGCTACTTCTCTCCCAGAGTTCCTGGCTTCCTATGTATCTGCTCTGAAAATGACCAAAGAAATCAACACAGTGGCTACTATAGGACTTCCCTGCCTGGGACTGCCAACCCCCCGACCAAGTTCCTAGGGGGAAAAATTAGTTTTACTCATACCTTTGTCACATAGAAAAAAAGTAAGATAAAAGAATGAAATATGAAGCTAACCTCAATGTCCCTAGTAGAACCAATCTTAACAGTTACTAGAATAATCTGAGATTTACCAAGACGTCTTTCATCAAGTAATTGACATGGAACAATCCCCTAGGAATTTATCCCCAAGAGACATCCACAGGCAAGTAAAAAGTTCCACAACTCCTACCTTATTCTGCTAAACAGCAGTATTGAAAAGCTGAAAATAGAGTCAGTATCATTATATAATCTAATATTATATAAGGTAGGATGGGGCTAGAGATATGGCTCAGTCATTAAAAAATAGAAAAAATTAAAAACAGAAAAAATGTTTTCTCAAGTTTGTTGAATTTATAATACTGCTAAACAAATACAGCATGTTACTTTTGCTAACTGGTCTGTTTATATGCAAGCACATGAATTTATCTGACAATCCTCTGAGGAGAAGTCTGCCTCTCTGCAGTCACTCAAACCTTCCCCCACTTGCCCTGATCTCTGAAAGCCTTGCATTTCAGCATGGGATCTAATCTAGGCCCTCCAGAGAATAAGAGGAACTTACCTTTTTGAGCCTCAGATTTGTGGCATTATTGCAATATTTGTACCAGACAGACTTGAGAATGGAGGCAAAAGGCGTGACTCCGATCCCCGCTCCCACTAGCATCACCACTTCATAGCTGAACACATCTTCACTGGCTGTGCCAAAGGGCCCATCAACTGCTATCCTGAACGGAAAGGGAAAGGGATAGTTGTAGGTGTTCCTTAATCTGCACAGGAAGTAGAATACATGCTGTTGTTGGACATGTGTGCTATGCTGAATCTGCTGAGATAGTGTATGTATGGGGAGTCTCTATAAAATGGCTTTCCTGTAAGTCATTTAATGCCACCACTGGGGCTGAAAGTAAGACTATAAATGATTATCTAACTGAAAACCTTTACTAGCTTACCATGAGCTTTTCCCCATTTTTTCTCTTCTTTCTTTCTCCACCCAACACACACACACACACACACACACACACCTACCTTTAAATTTATTTTCATTGTGTATGGATGCTTGCCTGCATGAATGTCTGTGAACCAGGTGCATATGTGGTACTCATAAAGGCTAGAAAAAGGATAGTTGATGGGGGAGAGTCTTCTGTTTTGTGTTAATTTCATTGGTTAAATAAAGAGACTGCCTTGGCCCTTTAATAGGACACAAAATTAGGTAGGCGGAGTAAACAGAACAGAATGCTGGGAGAAAGAAGCTGAGTCAAGGAGTCACCATGATTCTCCATGTGTCTCCAGGCAGACACAGGTTAAGATCATTCCCGGTAAGCCAGCTCGTGGGCTACACAGATTATTAGAAATGGGTTAGGTCAATATGTAAGAGCTAGCCAATAAGAGGCTGGAACTAATGGGCCAGGCAGTGTTTAAAAGAATACAGTTTCCATGTAATTATTTCGGGGACAGCCGGGTGCCAGGGATGCAGCCCACCACTCCTATTTCAACAGAGTGGCGCCCAGAGTGGTAATGAACTCCACGTAAAACCTGAGAGAGCTTAATTTTAATCAGAGAAAAAAAACAGAGTTTAACACAGCTTTTGGCTGTTAGTTGGTGGCGTGCTGTAGAGAGATTTCTTGATTTGGTATCACCAGCAGAAAAAACGCTGCGTCATTTTAAAGCGCAGCTTCCTGGGGCTGTGCTGCCAGCGTGAATTCTGGCTTTAAAGCATTTCAATGGATTTTATGGGACTGGATGTTTGTGTTCCTGCTTGGGATCAGAAGGAGAGTGCTCTGAGACAGTGGCATGGCTCAGCGCTCCCCGCCTGCACCTGGGCAGACTGCAGAATCAGGCTTAGGCAGGCAGAAGAGCATGGTGGATTCCTGCCGCCATACAGAGACGTGTTTTCAGACTGTGCAGTGCTCTGCGTGTCAGATTTGGCTGTAACTTGGATGAAAAGAATTTCTGTGCTGCACGCTCAGTCTCAGAATTAAAGTGCTGAGTGCCGCTCCTACCTGGTGGCCCCAGAGCTAGCACAAAATGGTCCATCCTCCATTTTGAAATTTTCCTGACTCAGCAGCAGGAAAAAAAACTGGCTTTTTAAAAATGCCGGCTTTCTGGGCTGTACCACCATTGCAATCTCTGTCTGGCTCCTGCAGGAGACAGAGCTTTTGAATGGAGCATTTGGAGTAAAGTGCTACGATTTGTTTGATGGCAACTAGACTCACTGTGTACTTAAAAGGAAGTCATTGTGTGCTGTGGCTCAGAGGCATGAGCAGCTCCGCCATGTTGGACTGGGCGGGGCCAGCAGGCAGTGCCTGTTTTTGACCTAGGAATTGTCACAGCTTAGATTCTTAAGCGCTTAGTGATTTAAAGGCGCAAAACAAAGTGCTCCTGGAGACGGAACACGAGCAAGGAACTCAGGACCACGAGGGGTGCACCCACACACTAAGACAATGGGGATGTTCTATTGGGATCTCACCAAGGCCAGCTGGCCTAGGTCTGAAAAAGCATGGGATAAATCCGGACTAGCTGAACATAGCGGACAATGAGGAATACTGAGAATTCAAGAACAATTGCAGTGGGTTTTTGATCCTACTGCACGTACTGGCTTTGTGGGAGCCTAGGCAGTTTGAATGCTCACCTTACGAGACCTGGATAGAGGTGGGCAGTCCTTGGGCTTCCCACAGGTCAGGGAACCCTGATTGCTCTTCGAGCAGATGAGGGGGGGGACTTGATCGGGGGAGGGGGAGGGAAATGGGAAGCGGTTGTGGGGACGAGGCAGAAATCCTTAATAAATAAATAAATTAAAAAAAATAATAATAATAAAAATAAATAAAGACAAAAAGGCTTTAAGAAAAAAAATTACAGATTCACAATAAAACAGATTCAGACACTGTTGAATGAATGTATGTAGGCTTGAGAGAGAGAAGAAAAAAGAATATAAAGAATAAAGTTAATGTCTTAAAAAAAGGGTAAAGTCTTTAAAGAGACAGAGTACAGATAGTTAAGAGATTAAAAGAAATAAAGAAAAATAAGCCACATAAAAATGGAAAATTCACAGAGAGTCTGGATTATGTACATTGTGTTTTCTTCAAAATTTTTGACTGTGAAGGAGCTAAGTACAGAGAGACATTTCATTACATGGGCTGCCAAGCTAAACTAGAATGGATATAAGGGTATTATGATTTCAAAATTTGGGTCTAAGGATATGATGCTTTGGAGAGGGTCTTCATTTGTTTTCACAGAGGACCAGACCCTGTGGATTGATTCTATCCCGATATGGTATGATAGACCATGACCTCCAGAAAAGTTGCTGTGAACACCCTCAAAAAATTACTTCACTGAACTGCCAACTGAGATAAACCTGGCACACAGGTTACACTCTAAATGATCTGATTGACAGCACCCCATTCAGCAGGAAGCAGTTTGGAGAGAAAAAAACTGCGGCCATGTTCCCAAAATATTGTTTATAAATGTTCTTTTACATTTAAAGGGCGAAATGATATAGGTATGAATAATTTGCATTGGTATGGATTTTAAGGTCAATTTTGTTATATGTATTTCTGATCTTGATTAGGTATTGTGATTGTGTAGTTCATTTTTAAAATGTAATGTATAATTAGAAAATATAGGTTGTTGATGGATAATCATAAATAATAGTCAAGTTTGTAGTTATGTTACTTAGATTTTCTAGATATATAGAGATATATTTCAGATAGGCATTCTTCATATCTCTCAAAGGCTGCAGAATATGGCATTTAAAATATTTTAATAACTTAGGACTTTTCATGACAATGAGACATGTCTGCTCCTGGCGGCACCAATCTACTTCAAGAAGAAGATGGGCATCGAAGAGGCTCCTTATGGAGTTTGATAGCCATTTGGGCAAGAAACTGCTCTTGCCTGGACTGTTGCATAAAATGGACACAAAGAACCCGCAGAGAGAGGACTGCTGAACTTGCCTAAAGGTGAGATGGTCTTTTGGGGTTCATGACTCATGAAAGAGTCTGCGAGACATTCTGCAGGACACAGCAGATAGTGACTGAACTGTCTTTGAAATTTCCTGCTTCATGGAAATATCTGCTTGATACGATGGGCCTGAAGGCTAAAGATGGATGCCCCAATGGTACAGAGGAACTTTGGGTGACTGTACAGGCAGCGAGATGTCTCTGCCATTTCTAGAGCTTTGGATTTCTTGTTTGCTTAGGTAATATTATATCCTTCTGGAGTCTTTGATGGAGTTGAAGAATGGTTAGTTATAGTTATAGTTTTCCTTAATTATGATAAAAGATAAAATAGATATAAATATTATAACTGTAATTCTTGCTTAATATCTGTTTTGTTATATGTAATCTTACTATGTTAAAGTGAAAGCCTTTCTTTTTTGTTTAAACAGAAAAGGGAAATGATGGGGGAGAGTCTTCTGTTTTGTGTTAATTTCATTGACTAAATAAAGAGACTGCCTTGGCCCTTAAATAGGACATAAAATTAGGTAGGCGGAGTAAACAGAACAGAATGCTGGGAGAAAGAAGCTGAGTCAAGGAGTCACCATGATTCTCCATGTGTCTCCAGGCAGACACAGGTTAAGATCATTCCTGGTAAGCCAGCTCGAGGGCTACACAGATTATTAGAAATGGGTTAGGTCAATATGTAAGAGCTAGCCAATAAGAGGCTGAAACTAATGGGCTAGGCAGTGTTTAAAAGAATACAGTTTCCATGTAATTATTTTGGGGCATAAGCTAGCCATGCGGGCGGCTAGGTGCCAGGGACGCAGCCTGCAGCTCCCTATCTCAACAGATAGTGATCGTGAGTCCCCTGTAACTGGAGTTAAATAGTTTTGAGTGCTTAGAATCAAACCCAGGTCTTCTGGAAGCACAGCCAGTACTCTTAATGGCTGAGCCATCTCTCCAGCTCACTTTTGTCTCTTGTTATGGAGAAGTATATCTGATTTTTGCTATTATTATTATTATTATGATGATGATGATGATGATGGTGTGTGTGTGTGTCTGTGTGTGTGTGTGTGCACATTTGCCGAAGTACACATGAGAAACTTTCAGGAGTTTCTCTTCTTCAACCATATAATCCAGGAGGACAGGGAATGGACACTCAGGACATCTGGTCTGCACAGCAAGCTCTATTACTCATCAAGCCATATGGGAAGCCCCTTGGGTTTTTTGCTTCTTCATTTGTTTGTTTGTTTTGTTTTTTTAAAACCAATCTCAAGCAGCCCAGGCTGGCCTCAAAAGTTTCTGTGTTATCAGGGAGAACCTTGAACTCCTGATCCCCCTGCTTCCACTTCCCAAGTACTGGAATTATAGGCATGGGCCCCATGCCTGGCAGGGCAATCCAAATTTGAAATTCCTAATTGCATTACATATTAAGATAAGAATGTTTTACATAATAACATAGTGTTGAGTTGATAGGATCACTTTCCATTTGTTTATTCAGGAAATAACTTGAAAAGCCTTTCTTTAGTGTCTACAGTGTCCCTAGTACTGTGTGAGACAAGTGGAGAGAAGGATGCAAAACAAATAATACTTTCAAACAAATGACATCATTTAAAATTTAAGAGTATCTCTGATATAATTTTTGTTTGTCAGAAAAAGTTAACATAACTTGGCCTTGACCCTTACATATTTAAAGAAAGTTGAGGTTATTACTAATACTTGATATCAATGCTTTCTAGTTTACCTAAGATATCTAAATATATGCATAAACACACCACATGCAATGGTAAACAGACATACACTATATTCTTTGAACCAATGTGCTTTGTCACTCAGAAGATCAGGTGGTGAGATGGAGAATCACAACTATTTAGCACCATTTCTCCTAAACTCATGCACGTTTTCCATGTGTTCTGTACTCACTTAGGTAGTTTCCAGGCATCTTGGAACTCTTGCTTATCACAGCCACAAGCATTGAACAGCCCTTCTGTCCAGTCTCCCACAATACGGATATGAATGCTAAAAAAGTCTTCCTCAGGCGCAGAGGTCAGGGTGAATGGGTGCCATTCCAGCTTGGACACCTTAGGACACTTGACAAAAATGTACTGTCCCACCTCCATCTTGAATCCTTTCTTCTTCATCTGAAGCTCAATGGTTTTGAAAGGGTGAGTGACCACCTATGGAATAAAACATGACCCCGAAAATTACGTGTCACCAAAACATTTGCACTTTTAAGATTCACATGGATAAAATAATTAAGATGCCCTACCTGTGCTTCTTTTGAAAATACCAACACAGAAGCAGATATATCTGTCATTTGGCATTTGTCCTCAATTATAGCCTTTGGCTAAGGGTGGACTGAAGGATGGGCACAAAGTCCTAGTTTTCTCTCTTCAGTCTGAGACAGCTCCAGCTCTCCCTTGTAGGATCAGCCGACATTGCAGCTGTAACCACAGTGGGCACCAGGTCAACTCCTCTCTCTTCCTCATTTTACCTTTCTAAATGTTTTAACTGTTTTTCTCTTGTTTGTTTTGAGATATGGTTTCTGTATGTAGCCCAGGGTAGCTTGTAACTCGTGATGTAGCCCAAACTGCCCTTGAGTTCAGGCTCTCCTTCTTCAACTTCCTGATTACTGGGATCATGTGAACGTGCTACCACATCTGGTTTAACTTTCATTATGAATATAGCCCCTGAGAACACACTCCTAATAAGTCTTTTACATACATTTCTGTTTCACAGTCTCTAGCAGGAAATGAAAACTATCCATCTGTTGTGATTTTTCTCTCTCTCAGATGCTAAAAAAGACACAAAAAATAGAAAGAAAAGTTTCTAGTTCATTCTTTCTGTCTTCCCTGGTCATGAGAGAGGGCGTTGGCAGATAGACAGAACGTAGAGTTTTCACTAACTAGATATATTACAACAGCTCCCAAATGAAGTTAACCATACTGTCTGTTCTTGTACTGAATCACACCTTAACGTGCCCTGCTTCTGCACTTCTCCTCCCAGAGAGAATGCCATCCATCTCTCCCCAAGTCAGGCACTATATTTATTCTCCATAAACACAACAGTCCATTTAAGGTCTATCTGAATTATCCAAATCTAGTAAATAGATAGCTAACTCTAAAACAGAACAGAATAAGGGAAACAGAAAGTAGATCCTCTTTCTTGTCAAAAGGATATTGTCACTTGCAGGTCTATTTCAGCACTACAGCAATGCTCTGGAATCAACCTAACTGTGGCAACAATGACTGGATAAAGAAAATGTGCCGCATTTTCACAGTAGATGGCTATTAAAAGCTTTAAAAGGGTGGCATCTGGCCATGTGCAACACGAACCTGAATGACGTAAGTGAAATAAGCCAGGCACAAATGCAGCATAACCTCACTCATACGATGAATGCGAGAGAGTTCAGCGCATAGAAATTGAGTGTAAGAGGGTGGGCGGCAAAGGATAAGGGGAGCAGGGTGGCAGGAGGCATGGGAGTTCATAGGTACTGACTTACAGTCAGGTAGAATGACTAGGTTGTGGTGTTCTGGTGCTGAATGGTAGGTTGCATATGTCAAGACTTCTGGGAGACTGGGCATTTTTATAACAGCGAAATCATGTATGTTTGACTTGAAAGCTGTGCTGCTGCTTTACTTGGTTACACAGGTATAGCACAGGGGAACACTACATTGTAGCTTATAAAGATATACAATTATGAGCTAACTGAAAATGAAGTCAAACTTAAAACCAAATGGAAAGGTAATGTACTGCTCGAAGACACCTACCATACCTAGAAGAATTTCAGAGGTACAAGTCCAGACAACCCAAAGGACATCAAAGAAGGGAAAGTTCTAGAGAATGGAAACAGCTTTTCCGAGCTCACTGATATTGCTGAGCTTTTCTGTCCATGAGAAACTTCAGAAATGTGGGGACTGCTACTAATAAAAGTTACTATTAAGGCTGCAGCCAAGTGCCAAAGTACATGCTTAGCATATGTGATGCCTGAGTTTAACCCGTAGAACCACCAAAACATTGTAAAACATTTTCAAAACTTGGGATTTAAGAGTACCTTATACAACAAGGCTGCAAACAACTTCCTCTGCTCTGAAATACAGAATTGGAAAGCATCATTTTGAATAGAGAAAATTATGTTGAAAATTGTTTACCATGTTGTAATTTTGTGTAGTAAAAACAGTTCTTTCATGTTGCAGTTTTATTATTATACGCACAAGGAGACGTTAACAAAAGACATTTTAGTAGATAGCACTCTCATTAATATTTTTAGATAACCCCTGTTTCTTGTATTTCATGAGAAGAAAGTGAACGTTTATTTTCTTCACAAGATAACAAATTTACCCTAGAAATACATTAAGGAGAAATATTTGTCTGGTTTGGTCATTTCTTATTTATGAATGGAAAAAAATTGTGGCAGGCATCTTTGTCAATTGCTAGACTTTTAAAAATAATACAATATACATAACATAAAAGGAGAGCCGTTGCATGTTCCTACATTGCAAAACTCTCAATGCCAGCAGGACTAGCTCTACTATGACTCTCCATAGGTACCAACTGAAATAAGTTAGAAGGAAGACAGAAGGAATTTTTGTGTCTTTCAAAACATAACCTACAATAGGCTTTTTGTAAATCCTTTTTGAAATGAATTGATCATAATTAAATTTTATTTGACAAAACAATCTTGTTGGGTATTTACTGTAACAAGGAACTTTCCTATCTATCTATCTATCTATCTATCTATCTATCTATCATCTATCTATCTGATAGAGTCTATCTAATTGTATATCTCTCTCTTTATTTCATAAGGAAAAACAAAACATAGGAAAACAGAGAAAAAGCACTCCAGACTTGGAGCCTGGAGACCAAGTGCAAGGTAAAAATTATGTCTTAATCCACTTGATATATTGAACACTGCAGCATTAATACACTGTGATTACTTATAAAGAATAGAAAAAGGAACTAGAAAGGTCTTTCAACCTCCTTTATATGCTTCTTGCTGTTTTTAGTACCTGAAAGTTTTTGTCTCACTAATACATGTGTGTGTGGAGGCAGGTATCATAAAAAGTGATACGTTATAGTGTCCCCACTTAAAGGCCAATTCATTTCATCATTAAGTTAAATTCATTCAATTAAACTGTAGGGTTTCTGTTTTCAGTTTAATAAAAATAACATGGCAAAGAGATCTTTTTGAACATCAATGTAGAGAATATGAGGAGACATGCCCATGCGATACTTAGCTACTAAGAATTCCGACATGAGTGAATACCTTGGTGATGACCACCTTCTGTTGTGATCGCCAAAACCGGACCAGCCTCTCACAGAGATACAGGAACATGGGACCCACTATCCATTTCCAAGTCTGTAATTGCATCAAATACAAAATGAGATGTGTTAAGGGGAGTGGTGACAGCTAGTTAAATATTAAGAAGAAGAAATCATTTTACAAGCCAGGCTAACCTCTGTAAGCTTGTTTAAGTATTTACTACTGATGAGCAGTTTTTTTAAAAATAAAACATAATATATTAAACTATCAAATGTTAAGATAAAGTGTAAAGTCAGTAAAACAGACGTTGGGGTTATATGTTGTATGATCTGTAGCTGTGGTGTGAGGCTTTCCAAAGAAGAATTTCCTACAAGAATGAGCTTTCCTCTCAGTGTTACAACCAAAGTTGGACTAGCCTACAACAGAGGACAGATGGTCCCAGAGTGAACCTGACTCTTCAGCAACACGAGATTTTTTTTAATGCAACGTTGCAATTGTTTTCTCCCAGCCATTGAGTCTCCAATTAATCTTTTTCAAGATGACAAATTTTGTGCAAGACTTCAGCTGTCTTCCTCAGCATTATGGCAAACTCTAGGAGCTATGCGGTACTTTTGCTGAAGGGACACACATGAAGATTCTAAAGCTTCTATCTAAGTCTCTGATTAGAATATAGAAATTGCTTCATAGATTTTTAGGCTCCAAATCAACATTTAGGCCCAACAGTTCTACCAGTTGGATTCCTAATCTAATATTTGAAGTACCAAAAAATTAGAAATATCTAAAATTTAATTTTCTAGAATGGAATCTGAAGCAGAAAATAAGAGCCATGTTCCTCATATATTCTGGTTGGTTTTGTTATTGTTTTTCTTGTCAACTTGACACAAGCTAGAGTTATCTTGGGAGAGGAATCTCAATTGAGAAAATGCTTCCATCCAGATTTCCAAGTCTGTAGGGCATTTCCTTGATTGCTGATTGATGAGAGAGGGCCCAGCTCATTGTAGGCAGTGTAACACTTGGGCTGGTGGCCCGGGTCTCTGTAAGAAAGCAGACCAAGCAAGCCAGGAGAAGCAAGCCAGTAAAAGCAAGCCAGTAAGCAGTACCCTTCCATGACCTCTGCATTAATTAGTTCCTGCCTTGTGTTCTTGCCTTCACTTCTTCAGTGATGGAGTGTGACCTGAGAGTTATAAGCTGAAATAAACTATATTTTTGACATTATATTGTTGGAAAAATTAAAAGTACTCAGATTCTTCACACCACTATTCAAAAGTGAAGAATATCTGTAACAGAGGTATGGAGTATTCTTTTGGTCTACCTCATCTTTATAAGCTGGATATTTAAAACTCTCCCATCTATTTCCTGGTTGATACCATAGAGTTACATTTAATGGCACTATACTTGGGCATTTCCTTTGATAGCCTCAGAAACCTAGAAGTAATTTTGTGACTGTTGCCTGCAAAGATAGTAGAACTCACTCTAGCTGTCATCAAGGAACTGTGCCTTCCATAGCCTATAAACTAACTAAAAATAAGGTTTGTTTTGTACGCTTTCTATTAATGGCTGAATATAGTAGGGGCAAGTCAATGCTGAGTCAGCTTGATTTCATTTATGAACAAGGATACTCAAAAACATTAAGCTGCTTTAGAGTGATGGGCATAGTAAAAGAATATTCCCATGCCAACAGGAGAAAATGGGATAGATTTGTCTTTATGTTATACAATGCAGGAGAGTTATAATACTAGTTATACAAAAGATTTAGAGCACTAGTCAGAAGCCTGAGACAAATGTTGACTTTTGTTTCATTTTACAACAGTGGCTAGCACAGCAACCAACAGATTATAATGTCTACCAACGGAAAGAAAGATAACATGAAGATTATAAAGCCTGCTTTATGGGGCAGAGATATCGAAGACCACCCAGAGTGGAGTTCAGAAGAACTCTCTATGGGAGAAAGCAAGAGTTTCACCTTGTTTCCCCGTTAGCCCTTGCCTTGCCTCTCCTCTTTCACAAGGTGACTGCCTTTGGTGTTTGTATGATTTTGGCTGTGGAACCTTTGTCATCCTGATAGATAGGATCCTCTGATGAATAAAGGCAGCTCAATGTGCTAATTCATCTGTTTTCTTAACAGTTCTGAAGCCATATAGAATTCCATATAGACTTCCCGGTAACCAAAGAGATCCACAGCTCCTTATAGGTGGATCATTTGAGCCATACAACTCATATCAGGATAGAATCCCTAAGTGCACCTCTGAAAATCATTAACTGATATTATTGTGATCTTCATAGCCAGAAGAAGAGGAGGAGATGGTGGTGGTGGTAGTGGTGGCTCTTAAGCCCAAAAAGCAATTTAAAATCATTGCTTTCCAACTTCATTCTAGGACATTGACAACAGATCAATGTAAAGTTTGTTTTTCAAGAAAAAGTTCTAGCCAATTCACATAGTAAAGTATCTATAACAATATTTGTACCTGCTTCTTAAACCTACCAGTAATAGCGCTTTAAAAGAAATAATAAAAATACATACCATAGGAGGGTTTCCAGAGAACTTGGGTACTGGGCACTGCTTTATTTTTCCCCATTCTGAGATTTTGTCTTCACAGAATTTTATATCATGCTCATTCAAACTATCTGTAGTCTGTCCACGTACAATTCGTCTGATGAATTAAAAAAAAGTAAGTCTTCATCACTTACTAACGAGACAGTAAGCTGTTTGAGTGTTTTAGACCCTTGGAATCCAGGGCCTCATATATGCTAGGCAAGCACTCTAACAATGAGTTGTATACCCTTACATTTCCTCCTTAAAGATTGGATTTAGTGACCAATGGACATGGCATGGGAAAAGCAGGAGTCTGAGGAATAGTAATTACAAAAGATCTTTATTCTCTAGTTCCCATGGGGAATAAATAATAGAAAAATACGATTTTTCTCCTTGTACTCTAAATAATAGGAGCAAAAGTCTGCAAATCAGAATTTCAAATCTAGTTCAATTGTTACCTAGCCATGAGATCCCGAACAACCACTTAACCAGTGTAAATAGCAACTGTGACTTAGATAGAGACTAAGCAAATACATCTCTGTCTAATCCAAAGGAAGACAGCTCTCTGTGCCACTCTCCAAACAGGAAGTGGTGGGATTGGTAAAGGAGAGAGAGGAAGTAATGCCTCACTTTTGTAGGATTCTCTGAGATAGCTGGATTGTGAGCGAGTTTCACCTTAAGACACTGTTACTTTAGGGGACTCAGGAGATTGTTCATCCCACAGATTTCTCAGTGCTTAGAAAGAGTTTATGAGGGTTTCAAATCGGGAAGTAGGCTAAGAATGCACATAGAAGGTGGCCCCAGTTGCTTCTTCTCATCCTTCCTCTTTTCACTCTCAAGACTTGCTCACCCCTAGCTGACTTGGCTTGAGTTTTGCATATTGACTTTCCCCCACCCTTATGTTCCTGGAACTCTATACCCATCATGGAACTTCCCTGGGCTTGGCTCTTCTGTGCAGGTGGTATAAAAGAGTAGAAAAATGAAACCTGATATTAAAGCAGATTTTCCCAAGCATACAGTCTAGCACCGTGTTTCTTTATGGGAGTGCTCACCACAGCCCACTCTAGAACACCTGTTCTGTAGGCTACACACCACTTGGGAGTGGTTCAGCACATGTATTTTTACCATTTTTACTTTGGGGTTCCAAATCTATACATTAGAGGAGTTAAAAGAAACATCGAATGTCAAGTTCTTAGCACTTGACATAGAGCTTGGTAGAAGTTATTACTTTTATCATATTCAAAAGTTGAAAGGTGTGTTTTTCTAGCGGGCATTCCTCCACAGTTCTGCAGATAGATCCTCATACTCAGAAGGCAACCAGTAATGATTGTTTGCTTAAATCAAAACCAGTTGGACAACAGAAAACCTCTTCAACTGATTAATCACTAACTCTTTTACTTTGGGATTTTGCTTAACCTACTTGTGATTTACCCATAGGAAACACTGTGGTGGACAGTCAAGAACCTACCAATGCTTTCAATAACGTATGGCCAGCATAGTGCAGACTACCTTGCTTCTCTTTAGAAGCAATCTACACAATCATACACAGTAGCCTTGAAACTAAACATAGACAGTTTATTTTATATATTGGGTATATGTTTCAAGCTTATTTTAAGTAGCTGCATTATAAATTAGATGGGTACAACAAGAAAGCAAGGATGTTGTTGTTTCTTTTGACTGACCTCTGCTGTCCTATTACATCCCCTCAGCAGAAAGGATGATCATACAAAAGCAAGGAAGTCACTGTGCCTGTCACTGGGCAATAATACACCTAGACAGTGAACCCAAAGCCTTTGGCAATGGAGGTAAAAAACTCACTCAGCTCCATGGATGGCAAGGCCGATGAAGAAGATCACAAAGAGATGGTGTGTATACCAGAATACTTCAAAGTAAGACCTCCGGATGGTTTTCGTAGAGGATGTGATAATTAATATGAGACACAGTGTGATGACAACTCCGGTGATGCCAGCCAACCGAGTCACGGCCACGTAGAGGCCTCCTTCAGGGTTCTAGAAAATAGAAACATGCAGGCTCATAATTGCAGGAGTGTCACTATTAAAGCTGTTGTATAATTTATTTCCTGTCCCTTTGGCTAGCCTCATCATAGCGCTCAGAGAGATATGGTGTTGAGGCTTCCAAATTTAAACTGTTAACCTTGTTGAGATGTCATGGATAAATAAGAACTATTACAATTACATTCTATGATTCTAATGGAGTTCAACTATAAAGAACTGGCCTAGTAAAAGTTGTCCTCAAAGTGTCTTATGTTCTCTATCTCTTTGATTTGAAAAGGTCACAGTGCTTAGTTGGCTAATGAATTTAGAATAGATGCCATCTGAGGCTGGGCTTCACCATGCTGGATCCTGAGATGACAGTTCATGGGCAAGTGACTTAGAAACAAGGTGTTCCAAGAGAAGCCGCTCAGCAAAGGCACAGCTCAGAGAAAAGGAGAAAGCCAGGCAAGGGGCAACTCACGGACAACATCTCACAGGGCTAGCTTTAACTTGACCTTAGAGATGTTCTCTCATTCTGTCTATTTCAGGAAACTGAAAATAAAATGGTAAAATGCTCAGATCTCTTAACAGTTGGCAAAAGCAGGCCACGATACACAGAGATACACAGGGTTAGGCTGAGGCTATCCCTTGTGAGACTGACCCTATTTTGTTTGTTTGCTTTGCTTTGTTGTTTTTATCTCCCATCTCAGAGAATTCTATTTAATAAGGCTGAGAGAATGTCGTACCCTCAGGCATGCACAAACCACTCTGAGAGTAAACTATACCTCAGAGTTTGGACTGACTAAAGGGAAAGAAGCTATACTTCAAGGCCTGCATTCATCAGTTATTTGCCAAAGGCATCTCAGGGAGAAGTAACTAAGCAGATCCTTTCAGATCTCATCCTTGGGCAGAGACACGGGGGGCCTCAAGGCAGTCCGTAGAAGAGAAGACAGGCGAAAGAATTGAGAAGGCACATACTGTGGGGGGAAGTTCAGACCCAATAAAAGTGACCCAAGGAAACTGGGACAGAGTATGACAATGTCAGTTCAACTAATATGGTCAAATTGTCATCCCTTAACCAGATTACAATCCACGGTTCCAGAGAAGCTAGGTAACAAGGAGAACCCTAAGAGGGACACATAGATCACCCTGGGAAGGGGAAATAGATAAGATCTCCTGGGTAAACTGGGGGGGGGGCAGTAGAGGGAAGAGGATGGAGGAACATGTGGGAACAGGATGGTGGGGAGGGTTGGATTGGGAGAGCAATGAAAGAGAGATCTTGATAGAGGGAACTTTTATGGGGTTAGGGAGAAACCAGGCGCTAGGGAAATTCCCAGGAATCCACAAGGGATGACCCTAGCTAAGACTCCCAGCAATAGTGGAGAGTGTGCCTGAAGTGACCTTTTCCTGCAATCAGATTGGCGAATACTCTGACATCCCAGAGTCTTCATCCAGTAATTAACGGAAGCAGATGCAGAGATCCACAGCCAAGTACCAGGCCGAGCTTGGGGAGTTCAATCAAAGAGAGTGAGGAGTATTATATGGGCAAGGGTGGGAGACAGACAAGATTATGATGGGGAAATCTACAGAGATAGTTTACCCGAACTAGTGGGAGTTCATGGACTCTAGACTCTCAGCTGGGGACCTGCATGGGACATGAACTAAGTCCTCTGCATGTGAGTGACAGTTGTGTAGCTTTGTCTGTTTGAGGGGTCCCTGGCAGTGGGACTAGGATCTATCCCTGGTACATGGGTTGACTTTTTGGAGCCCATTCCCTATGATGGGTTGCCTTGCTCAGTCTTGAAGCAGGGGAGAGGAGCTTGGTCTTGCATCAACTTGATGTGCCAGGCTTTGTTGACTCCCCATGGGAGGCCTTAATCCTTTTTGAGGAGTGGATGGGGGTGGGTTCGGTGGGGGAGAGGGAGTGGGAGGAAGGGCAGGGGAGGGGAGGGGGACTGTGGCTGTGGTTGGTATGTAAAATGAATAAAAATTTTAGCCGGGCGTTGGTGGCGCACGCCTTTAATCCCAGCACTCGGGAGGCAGAGACAGGCGGATTTCTGGGAGTTCGAGGCCAGCCTGGTCTACAAGAGCTAGTTCCGGGACAGGCACCAAAGCTACAGAGAAACCCTGTCTCGAAAAACCAAAAAAAAAAAAAAATGAATAAAAATTTTAAAAAAATTGTCATCCTTATACATCACAATGCACAATGGAAAGAAAAATTACCCACGGTATCAAAAACAAGCATTTATGAATCATTCCAGTTTTTCTTATGTCAGTTTGAATGTAAACATTTTGGAAAAATTAAAGTTTTTTTTGTCTTGTAGATGTTTGTCTAACCTCAGAAAATGTGTTCAAAATTTAGTGGGGAACTTAACTATCTTCCTAAACCACATGGTTCATAAAAATGGCCGGAGCTCCTTTCTACGTGGAAGAAACTCATGGGATGAGAACCCATAGATACCATGGGGGTTCACAGGTGCCCACAAAAACAAAAGTAATTAAATAAATCTTAAAAAACAAGACCTTTCTGAAATCATGTCTGAGTTTAGACAAAACGTGGGTTCTTTACTTATTTCAGATAGCCCTGTTCTTTTCTTTCTGCCTCCCAGAAAAATAAGTAAGTCAGTAAGTAGTTCCAGAGCTACCCCCAATTTTGGATCATATATGATTCATACAAATACTGGATTTCTTTTTATTTTATTTTATTTTTATTTTCTAAAAAGGAAACTATCTTTTCTTCATTATACATACCAATCCAAGTTCCCACTCTCTCCCCTCCTCCCATTCTCTCCACTTACCCCCCTACCTCCATCCACTCCTTGGAGAGGGTAAGACACATTGCTTTAGAGAAGGTTCAAAGCCCTCCCTACTATATCCAGGCTGAGCAAGGTATTCATTCAAAGATATTAGGCACCAAAGAGCCAGTACATGCAGTAGGGATAAATGCTGGTGCCACTGCCAGTGGCCCCTCAGTCTGCCCTAGCCAAGCAACTGTCAACCACATTCAGAGGGACTAGTTTTGTCCTATGCTTGTTTCTTCCCAGTTTGGCTGAAGTTGGTGAGCTTCTATTAGCTCAGGTAAACTGTTTCAGTGGGTGAATCCATCATGGTCTTGACCTCTTTGTTCATATTCTCACTCCTCCCACTCTCTAACTGGACTTTAGGAGCTCAGTTCAGTGCTCTGGTGTGGGTCTCTGCCTCTGTTTCCAGCAAATACTGGCTTTCTTAAGCCTTCCCTCAAATCATCTAATATAAGCCTAAGTGGCCTAGCAAGTCCCTTATAACATCCTCTGCAGGTATTCACTTGGACATCTTTAAGGCATGAAATCTCTTTCATTGTGGCAAATAGTAAAGCCAATTTTGATTGCACATGAATCTCTTCTTTATTTTATTGTGCACAGTCATGGGTGAGTGTGAGTTCCTACAGGATCTGCATACAAAATTTCTGCAGGAGAGTCCAGGGTTCAGGAAATACCTGAGTAGTCTGTGCACATGCCACCAAGGGGGCTTACATTCTAAGCCATTGGCAAACTTTCATTGTTGACTTTAAAAGACAAATTAGAGATTTTCATTGTTCTCAGTTTTAATAGCCCAGAAAACATTTGAATCAGAAAAGAGGAGGCTTACCTTGATTTTTTCTCTAGCAAAATTGAGATACTCTTCATTGTCCTTGTCACCAATTTGAGAGAGTGCTACTGAATATGGGTCAGAATTGTTGACTCTGGCATTCACACACCACTCCACATTGAACAGATGTGCAATGGTGTGGATCGCTGAAGAGGGCAGAGAAGAGAAACAAAGAAAAGAAGAGGGATGCAAACATTATTGGAGTCAAGGTTTCTGGCCACAGCCTCTGACTCCCAAGTGAAACAAAGGGATGTGGTCCAGGATGCTGTAAACAAAAACTGGGTCCCAATAACCACTGAAGCAAGACAGTTCTAATAGTCCAGCTTCTTTTCACCTGTGTGACTGTGAAAAAATTGTGCAGCCTCTCTGGTATTACTTCCCTCATTTGTAAAATGAATGTTGAACTAACAGTTCTGAAGATTCAACCAATTTCTAAGATAGACATTTGATATAGTCACATCTTCTCTTTTTCCCTAATGTATCTGTGCTCAAGTGAGAAAACAAATCATGTGATGTCTGATAAATCACCTCCAGAGTACAGTGACAAACATAATTGAATTAATACGAGCTGATGGTCAACAGCATAAATGTCTGAACATAAGTTACAAAGAAAACTGCATTCATTATGCATTATCATTTGCCTAGAACTTCCTAGGGACTAGTACTGTTAGAAGGGCTTTACCATTACTCAACCCTTATATGAAACCAATGAGCTAAGTACATTCAGTATCAGGTCACCTAAAAGATGAGGGAAACGGGGCATAGACGGCTGTAAAACCTTGCCCAAGGTCACCTAGCCAAAAAGCAGCTGAATTGGGGATCAAATCCAAGCTGTGTGGCACCCGTGTCTGCATTCTTACTGGTATAGCACACTGTTTTCCAACAGAATATTACCATTAATTTCTCTTGAAGCATTTCATTTAGCACAACTCAACGTCCTGCACAATCTTATAGAAGAGAAACCCAGTTAAACACCTTTAAGGTAAGCTCATTTTCATCAGGTAAGAGAGATTCCTCACAGGCAGACTAAAGACTTTTTTGTTTATTACTATTTGTGTCTATTTTCTGACATATAAAATATTTAAGTGAATTCATGGAGACTATAGTAACAGTTCTAGGCACATCCCCTACCACAACAGTGATAATACAATACATTACATATAAAAACATATTGTATGCATACATATATGCGATAATAGTAATAATCACTAAGGTATGTAGGTGATAAGGGGTTCCTTAAGATGTTTTCAATTTATAGCTCATATTTCTGTAGATTTACTGCAAAAATCCACAAAGTCTACATTTGTAGCAATGTAATTCGGTAGAATTAATAAAAATTTTTATGTGTCCACTAACAAACATTTTTTCATACTAAGATCATGGAAAATGGTGAGAATACGAGGGCAGACTTTATGGCATATTGTTATTTTATATATATAAGAAGATCGTATGGTTTTCAAAAAAACACTGTAAGTGTAAATCCTAACATCAGAAAATAGAGTTTGAATGCATTTGAACTGAACTTATCTGACCACCATATAACGGACATGATGGACTTGTAGAGTCGGATACACGTGTGTATCCAAGAATAGAGGGCTCCTCTGTTACAATTGGTTTGCAATTCAAACGCCTTTTCAATCTTACCAGTGTGAAGCGCTATCATCCATGCCACCATTTTATGGAAAGTGAGGTTCCGATCCAGTTGTCTTCGAATTCTTGTTGAGCAACACTTTGGATGAAGAGAAAAGAGAATGGTGGAAATTGTTCATGTCAAAGCCTTCTATGTCCCAGGTGCTTTACATGCATCAGCTCATGTAATTCTCATAACCGCTCTACGAGGACATATTTCCATCCACTTGGTTGATGAGAAAACTGGTGGAGTTAGTAAGTCATCTCTCCCCGTTCAAACAGCAAGCTTAAGTAATATAGTTCCTGTTCTCATAGTGACATGAAGCCCTCTCTCAAATACCTTTCTCATTGTATAAAGTTTTAAATTTTGACACAATATATTCCTAGTTATGATAATTTTATTTAAAGGGGCCCTACGATTTCATAAAGAGTTGGCCTACTGTTTGTTTCCTAAGAGTCCAGTGGGGACAAAAATGAGTGAACAGTTCTAGAACAAGTGAGTAGGTCTTTAATCCAATTGCTAATATACACTATAGAAGGAGGTCATCTAGGTCACAGACATTACAAGGAAAATCACTGTCTGTCATCACATAATAATAATAAAAATAATGATGATGATGTTGATGGGGACAACAATAACTAGCAGTTACTGAGAGCTTGTGGAAGAACTCTTTAAGCCTTTTACATGTATTGGCTTACTTAATTCTTCCTCTTATGTCAGTTTTATTAAGGAGAGACCATTACCTACCTAACAGCTGAGGAAACAAAGGTGATTGATTATCCTGCCTTATGTGATATAGTCCATAATGGACAGAGATGAGATTAAATCCAGATCATCGGAGAGATTTTTGTATCAATATTGCAGTAATTTATATAATCTCCTGACACTCAAAACAGAAAGTTGTCCAGGGCATTTGGCCCATATCCATATGTTAGAATGCATGGATTTGAATCTGGAGTCAAGTCAATGCTCAAAGCAGAGAAAGCGAAATCTTGTTGGTGGTTGAAATAGACACTTATCCTCACAAAATCTGGTTATTGGCTTGTTCTAGCTGCTTTGCACCACAGTTTAAAAGTACTGTCATAAAAAGTTAAAGTTCTTTAAAGAGGACAGTGACCTTCTAAAACAATCTTAGGTATTGTTAATACATGGATCTAAATTTTGTATATTATTTAAATGAGGTTACTTATTTTTAATAAAATATTCTGACTTTGTAGAAAGATATGATTGGTGGACAATTGTACCTGCTGTACTGTTTCTCAGTTCATCACACCTAAAAGGAAGGAAGGTTACATGAAAGGTGACTCTTTGAATCACAAAAATACTAGTAAGGAAGATGATAAGGCTTCCAAATAAAGAAGAAAAGCTTTATCAAGTATCTTGTGGGACCCAGGTAATTTACTTATTTACTAATCACTCAATGCAATAATGCAAGTATTCTCATCTCCATTATAGACAAAGAAATTAAAAATTTCACTTTGGCTTTCTAAAGTTCACATCCCTTTCCATCAAATCAGATGCAAGGACACCATCATTATTATTCTAAGTGCCTCAAAAATATGACTTAAATTTAAGTTTTGGGATCCTTAGTGGAAAGTGGTCAAAGAAAGTGAGGGTAGGAGAACAAAGACTAGAATGGAAAGAAACCCATAAAGGGCATATTAAAGCGCTACCACTGTGCTTTAACAGTGGGGTCATTCAGATGAGGCAACTCCTTTATAGTTTTAAGAAAATAGCCTCCCATTTCTTAACTGCCACAGTCCTTCAGCTTTTAAGAGTCCTTCTGATAGGCATAATTCTGGAAGACTTGTAATGACCTTGTGCAATCTTCTCCCTTGACTTTGAATGAGACCTGTGACTAGGGTGTGTGATTTTGTTAGACGATAATGATAAAATGGATTCTGCAGATGTAAAGTCCAAAATTGTCTTAAAGAGAGAGATTTTTTCCCCTCAGGTACCCAACACTATCACATAAACTCTTGAAATCTAGGTCTAGAAGTTCCAAGTGGAGGAAGTCAGAGATTAAAAATACAAGAAGGATTTAAGGTACTGTTGCTGAAGTGGCGGGGCATGTAGGCTCCAAAAGTGACCATGGGATGATTACTAGCAAGGAGACAGGGACCTGAAACTATAATGAATGGAATTTTGCTAAGAAGGAGCTTGGAAAGGGGTTTTTGGTTTGTTGTTTTTCTATTTTGTTTTAGAGAGCTGAGGTGGAACCCAAGGCTCTGTGCATGCTAGAAACATACTCTATCTCTAAGTCCAGACTTTCAGAAGAATATTTTAAGCCAGTTTCTAGGTACACTCATTTGCTCTCACCCCAGCAAACATGTTCTTAATCTTACTTTCACAGAACGGTGAATAGAGAAGTCAAACAGGGTGCTGAACCTCTGCTTTATACAACTTCCAGCTTATAAATGAGGGTTATTCAAAACAATTGCATTTGGGACAATCCGTTGCACAGGAGTAGATAACTAATAGCATCCTTCCTGGAGTGGCAAACTGGATTGGACTCTTAAGAATCACAGGATGGTCTGGATGGTGGTGATGCACACCAATAATCCCAGCACTCAGGAAGCAGAGACAAGTGGATCTCTGTGAGTTTGAGACCAGCCTGTTCAACAGAGCGAGTTCCAGGACAGGCTCCAAAACTACAGAGAAACCCTGTCTCTAAAAACCAAAACCAGATAAAGAATCACATGATGAGAATTAATATAGTTGAGAGCAGCCATGAATTATTTTTGAAAGGAAATTTTGTCTTCATATGTATCTATTGTGAGTCATAGACCTACCACTTAGCTGTAAACTAATTTTCTCCCCTGTATGATAGATAATTGATGATAATTGAAGTTCTTCCCTAGGAGACATGTAGTCATTGAGAGATGTTTCATTAGAATCTGATGTTATTTTGCAACATTGTGTAACTAACTTCGCATCTAATGTACCCTGAGTCTCCAGCTAGAGGGCAAGCATCCTGTACAGAGATCAACATGCTATGTACTTGTAAAATTGTTCTTTAATAATTGTTTGGTCATGCCTTGAAAATAAGATCATTAAACCTATCTACATTTGTTACAGCTTCTTTTCCAGTTTCTTGAAGGAGGGATTGAGGGGAAAAATTACTAACTTCTGAATTATAACAGATTTGAAGAGAAATAGTATGGCTTTGTTGGGCCCCCTATATCCTCTGCATAGGCCCATCTTTATCGCTATCATTAGCAGTGATAAAATTTGTGAAATAATAGATGTTGATGCCCTTGCTAACTTTGACACGAAGCCGTAGAAAAACTAAATGCAGTATCATAACAATGGAGAGATAGGATTAGGTATTACAGAGTCCATTCAGAGATAACCATTTTATCTTAACATGCATTAATGCAAAGAACATTTGATTCAAAGAAAAAACTAGTGAGTCAATGGAACAGGTCCTACCAAGACAGCAGGCCTTCATTTTTCCTAACCACTGTCTTCAGTGTAGTCAGCAATGGTAAACAACCCTAAAGAGAAGCCACAAGTCATGCTGATGCTGAACTTTCAAGAAAATGATCTCCTCACCACTTCCTGAAAATGAGGCGGGATGATCAGTTTGTAAAGTTTGAAAGACGGGCTTTATCTTTGATTGCTTGGGTCCTTTCTGTTCCTCCTTACTATAAAAGATACCATTTCTGTGCTTCGGCTCACCTCTAAACTATTACCAGCCATCTCCCAAATAGCCAAGCTGTCATCATGCCTTACAGCTTCTTCATGGAACTACCTCTTTGCCTTTGTCCACTAGCTTCTAAAAGGAAGTTTCTCTGTTACTGTCACAAAGAGCCTTGCCCAATTTCAACAAACTATCATTATAGTGCAAGGGCAATTGTTGGGACATCCTGGCAATTTGCTATGCTCTATTGAAACTGAATTTCAAAATAATGAAAAGTGGAACTAAAATGAAGTACTCATTTGATAGGGTTATTTTAAGCTTTTAAGCTCTATTTTATGTATACTTGGTCTGATTGTATTTGTATTACATATTTATGAACATTTTAGGTAAAATGTCAAGAGCTATCCTTACATCTCCTGACAGAACTCAGGTAAAGACTCTGACAGTAATGTCCCCACATGGTGGCAGTAAAACTATGTGAAAAAATGAAGGATAACACTTTTTTACGGAACTCTTTATAATTTTGAAATCCCATGTTAATTCTAAATCTCTTTCACGGGACTCTAAGCTCCTAAAGCTTGTGGCTTTCTGCCTTTAATCACTTTGTATTTCCAGTTATTAATATATAGAAAGCCCTCTACTAGGGTGACAACTTAATAATCAACAAACTTAAATAATCAGTATATTTTTACTAAAAGTATATTCGTTCATTTTTCTTCTTTTTTTCAACACTGGAAATGGAAAATAGAGCCTTTTATACTTGGTGTGTTCTTTACCACTAAGCTACAGTCCTTCCTAGAAAGGCATATTTATGTTTAAATTTGCATTATTTGACCTGCTTCCCTGCTAAAATCATCCCTGAGATGAAAAGCACAAAGGGGCTCCCTCTAGGAGGACACATGGTTTGAGGCAGAGCCATGATGAGGCCTTCTGATTCTGAGACTATATAAGGCAAACGGCCTTACCTTTTAACCTTCCTGTTTTAGTCTGACCTGAAGATTAGGATGGTCACAAGTTAGAAATTTGTTTCTACACATGGAAGTTCATCAAAGACTTCTGTATGCTTAGGCCTATCCTTTTTCCATCTCTCTCAACAAAGCTAGCTGAGAGCCTTTACCTCTATCCTTTTGCGAGGGGCCTAAGGATACACAGCCAGAGGACTTTTTCCCCTCTAGGTAACCAGAAGAATTCAAAACCAAAGTCTGAATGATTCGGACCTCTAAAACTGAACAGAAATTCTGTGTCTGTTTAGTTAGTATGGTGTTAATGGAACAAGTTTTTGAAATTATTATATCCTTATCATTTCTAGAGTAGGTCATTTAGCAGGCTCAAATACTCATATTAAACAGAGCCACAGGGAGAGTTCAAGATGTTTAGTTGACACATACAAAAGCGAACAGGCTCTGGGAGCACAATTTCCTGGCTTTGATTCCTCCCAGTTAATCGTGCTCCCACCTCACTCCCTCGACATGAGTTCTACAGAGCTTCAGTGAGCTGTGGCCGCTCCCACTTCCAACATCAGCCACAGCATACTCGTGCGTTTAAACCGTGAGCAGAGAGCAGCTGCAGTTTTCAAAGTTCACACTTCAGCTTGCTAAGCCCAAAATGAAGGGCGTGCCATACCTGTCAGAGACCATTGCTTTGAGGGAGGGGAAGTAGGCAGGGATACCAGAATAGATGGTATGAAAGCACGAAGAACAATTCTAGGGGAGGACGCATAGAAATGGAGATGAATAGCAGAGAGATGGGAAAAGGAAGTAGTGGAGCAGCTGATCAACAATATTCAAGTATATATGAAAATACCAGAAGGAGAACCCTTACTTTGTCTGCTAATTTAAATAAATACATAAATAAGTGGGGGAAATTGTTCTTTTGTGTGAAGATCTATTTGGTTATAGAATTGGGCTTTTCTACAATTTAATCACTGCTATTAAAGGTTCTCATGAGGGTCTTCACCTGTGGGCCACAAGTTGCCCCTAAGATGACATTTTATATGTGCTGCTCATGGGACATGGGCCCTCAAGGCAATGCAACTTCGGGTTATGAGGTAATCAGGATTTCTTAACTGACCACCTTGGTGAAAACGCTGCCTGTTTCTCAGGCTTTACTTCCTCTAAATAGAAAGTATTCAAATGGGGACAGGGGGAATTTCTTTTAAAGGCAACCGAATCATGTCTCCATAAAAACAAAACAAGTTAATGTGCAATGGTTTCATCTAGCAAGGCTTCATGTGGCTCCTGTACAAGATAGATGGATAGCTTGGCTATCTGTCTTTCAATGCAGTGAGATTGCATCTCCGTGGAGTCTTGGGAGATTATTTGGAAAGCCTCATGGTTGATGTCTAACAGCAGGTGCTCTTGTTTGGTTTTGCCCTGGTTTTGCTCAGTCTGCAAAATCAAATTGTGATACATTGAAATAATGACTTGGATAAAGGAGCATTGTCACAGAATTTTCCAGATGAAGGACCTGACCCTTTTCAGAGAACCTCAAATGATTTGTCAACATTCTTCTTTTATTTCTGCCTGTCCAATTTGTTGTTTTGCTGATGAGCAAAAATGAGTCTAAGATTTTGTTCAACTACATATGGCTTTGCAGTACTGGAGGCGTGACTTGGGTCCCACTTGCTAGGTTAATGCTGTACTACCGAGTTACCCCCGTTTCCTGAAACTAGAGCCCCGAGGGTGGAATTTAGGGAGTATGTTTAAGATGAAATGGTATTTTGTAAAGAGGTGGGGAGTATCAAAGTTTAATTGTCTGCTCATGCCATTTTAGCAAATTGAGGGCTGTATGTTTCTAGATAGAAACTCTTCTTAGACTAATAGGAATGTTGTATGACTAGGAAAAGGGAGGCAAAGTGAAACACAAATTGTACCTGTAACTCACCATCTAGTTCATATATTCAGTAATTGTTGGATCAAGCGTTAACTCTTTAGCTATATGTTTAAGCTCCTAGTTTCGCAGTAAAATCCGTGCTTTCTTTCCCAGTCTTATCTTAGAGCAGTGGTTCTCAACCTGTGGGGCATGACCCTTTGGGGGATCGAGAAACTCTCTTTCACAAGGGGCTGAAAAATTTGGATGTTTACATTGTGATTGACAGCAGTAGCAAAATTACAGCTCTGAAATAGCAAAAAACTAATTTTATGTTCCCACAACATGAGGAACTTTAGTTGCTGCATCAGGAAGATTGAGAGCAGAACCGTTGCTCTAGACAGTCACCCCAATTACTGTACTCCCAGAAGCAGAGTTTGCTTACCATTGTCCTTCAAAATTGATTTTAACTTAAATGTTTTAAGATTTTAGGAGAGAGATGGGGGAGGGGTAGACATTTGTGTGGTAGTCAGAGGTCGATGTCAAGTGTCTCCCTCTACTTTCCACCTTAGTTTTGAGGCAAAATCTCTCACTGAATCTGGAGTGCACCAATTCCGCAAGGCTAGCTGTTCATCAAAACTCAAGGTCCCAGGAGGGCACTAACACCTAAAACTTCTCAGGAATTGTTTTCAGTGTGGCCAGGAATAGAAAAAAAATCCAAAGTGAAGCAATGTCTTGCTGATAATTAGATTTTAAAGGCAGTTACATGAAAATATACCCAAATCAAATCAAGCTCAGGATGCTGCCTGTCCTTGACTTGACATGTTCAACCTGCCCAATTCTGTGCACTGTTCTATATTTCTTCCTATGGGAAGAATACACTACCTCTCTTTCTCCCAAGCCAGACAGAACCTGACTGTATTCATCTTCATTCTCCAAGTACACAAACGTTCACAGAAGGAAAACAATCTAGCCATCAACTCATACATTGGGTAAATATTATCCTTTGTGTTTCTTTTGGTACTGATGATTGTTGCCATAGCCTCATGCATGGTTGGCAATCACTGTACCAGTGAGCTGCACCCTCTGCCCAACAAACCACATTTAAATAGAACACAATAAAGGGTGATACAGAAAGTATTATAGTATTTCTCATTTTTTGATAATAAGATGTCTCACCATGTTCTGTGCTTTTGCCCATGCTATCTCTTGCCCACATAGAACACTTTTCTGTTTCATTAACAAATTCTAAACGTTGATTTATCCTCACTACTCAGGCTACTTTTCCTCTGCAACCTTCCTGGCATTCCCTGCCCCATCTGATGTCATTTCTGTCTTATTTGATCTGTCATATCTGATCCTCTATGGCTCTTTATTTTAATGTTTTATATGGGATCTACCATATTTTGTTCTGTACAATGTTATTTGAACATGTATTAAATTTAAAAATATCAATGATTTAATTTTTATCTTCATATAATGTTACCAGTATATATATATATATATATATATATATATATATATATATATATATATCTCAAGGTGCTCATTGAAACATTAATGTAAAGGCAAAGGGGGCTCTGGGCATGTAGAAAGCCCCGAAACTTCCAATCCCATGGGACTATAAATGTTTATTTTGCTTTTCTTTATTTTTGTTTTATTTTTTTTTAATTTCACTGTGTAGCTGAGGCTGGCCTAGAGCTCCCTATGTAGCCTGGAATAGGCTCAAACTTAAGAACTGTCTGTCTCAGGCTCCTCATTGCTGGAATTATAGACATGTGGCACCCTAGGAACCAACTATTTCTCCTCCTATTTTCATATAGTGGGTTTTTCTGTGCATTGATTTAATTTGCTTGAGATGTTCCACAGAAAATGTGTTTTTTATGATAAAATTTTAAAAATAGTCTTGAACAATTAGTTCCTAAATATCACATGTCTGGCTCATATACTCTTAACACATGAATGTTTACTACAGTACTGTTGTTGATGTATAGTTTGTTTAGCTGCTTCTTAAATTTTTCAAATTAAATGACTATTCCAGGGATATATATATATGTGTGTGTGTGTGTGTGTGTGTGTGTGTGTGTGTGTGTGTAGATATATGATATATATTACAGCATAGGACATGGTGCAGCTCATGAATATTCTACACAAGATAAGCTTCACAAAGCATTACTTTGTTCTGCCTTAGAAAGAGCATTTGGCATGATGGATTGAGAATTTGAGGCACTCAGTAGAAAGCTTGCTCTTACCGCGCTGGAACCCCTGAGGAAGGAGAGCAGATTTCGACACACTGGTAACAGGATCAGCATGCAGTTGAAATTCAGGAAGGCTGCAGGTGCCCTGGCCAGAGCCAGTGCTGACTAGAAGAGAGAGGATTGCGAGCAGAGAGACTTTGGTGAGCAGAATACCCATTCTCCTCTTCCCTGGGGTCCCATCATGGAACCCCAAAAAGCTCCCTTAAGACATCTGGAATGGAATTCCCTTCACAGCGGAGGAGTTTTCTTGGGGTCCACTGATATGCTTTACTTTAACCTGAATCTGCCTGTTTACTCCAACTGAACATTTTAAAGTTTCAAACCTGAAGAGAAGTGGAAAGAAATTTACTTTGAGTTTTTTTTTTATCCACCCGCCGGACTAAACTTTTTAAATTTTCGTGTGTGTGCTTTATCATCTACCTAGCTTTACACCCCTTCCTCCATCAGAGGAGAGTATCAGGTGTCCTCCTGTATTTCTATGGTGCTCTGCTTTATTCCTGTGAGACAAGGTCTCAGCTTGAACCAGGATCTCACTGTCTTTTGTCTAGTCTGGTGTTCAGCAAGCTCTAGGGATCCTACTATCTCTACTACTCCCTTGCCCTTCCAGTGGTGGCGTTATAGGTGCCTGTGGCCACACTTGACTTTTTACATGGGAACTGGGGAACTGAACTCTTGGCCTCATGCTTGTGCAGCAGGAACTCCTATCCCTTGACACCCCTCCCATATAGTTGATACATTTTAAAGTAAGTTGCATGCATCAGTTTACTTCCTCCTAAATCTTTGAGCATGTATACCATTAACAAGAGGTCAGTATCAAAACTAGATCTTTGATTTTAAACAAAGTCCCCTTTGCATTTAGACCTTAACAGTAACTTAAGCTGGTATGGTGTAATACTTGGGCGAAACTGGTTTAGCAATGTCTAAAGAAGTTGCCTATGATACAAGAACAGATCAGCATGAATACAGTAGAGACAATTTTAATAATGTGAAATGATTGTTTGGCAATACTTACACATATGATTATAACATTATTAATGTAAGTAATATTTTCAGCATTATATAACAAATGATGTGCTCTGGGAGTGGCTGTAGTTCTAATTATTTTCATTTGTGATGAAGAGACCTGACAGTTCAAGGAAACAGATTGCTTAGGGACTCAAGGAAATTTAAGGACCTCTGCTCGGCTGGCCTACTGAAGTGATGTAGTACACAAACAAGTTCCTGCAAGTCTCCAGATAATCGCTTGAAGTCGATTTTTTCAAGATCATTTCACATGTCATTAGGAGGAGGACTTCTCCATGCCAAAAATATGATATGATATTTAACTTAGAAAAAATATAGAAAATTTCAATTGTCAAACCAGTGTCAAACCTGTATGAGTGGCTCCCAGTAGGCTTTCCATTCTAGAGATTCCTATGTTAAGCTTGGCACATATTGGTAGAGAGGGATGCAGGTAGGACCCTCTACCACACTTCACTTTGTTACACTGTCAGGCCTTAAGTGATTCTTGCTAAAGAATTTGCAACTGGAGAGTAAAGCTGGTGATGTTGTCTTGGTTGGTCAGAATATTCATTCTAAATCTTAAAAGGAATAAATAAATACGAGCACATCTGCCTAGAAGTGTGAGCTGGCTGATATTGCATGAGGTGGAAGTTCACTTACCCCGAGGAGTTTTCGAGTATAATAGTACTTAGGTCCATCATCATAAACCTTGTAGTAGTTGACAAAGAGGAAGACATTCAACCCCAACCACACCAGCTGCACAAACAGAAAAAGTTGGATGAGGTTTATAAGCCTAAATAAGTAGATTCCCTATAATAGTGGAGTCAAATGAAGGACAGGACTTCCCCCACGTTCAGACTTTGACAAAGGGGGTCATAAAGCTGAGCACAATCAGCTTCAAGGCAGCTCTTTCCTATCCCCGCGCCACCCAACTCTTCAGTCACACTGGCTTGATCTGCCTTTGTTGTTTTGCATGATTGCTTCACTACTTGGTCAGCATGCGAAGTTAGTATCAGCCTGCCTTGTCTCTTTTCATCTTAAGATCAGAGAGGTAACAATGGTTGACAAGTAAAGGGAGGACACATGGAACATGTATTGTTGCTGACCCTCGCTCGACCTGTAGGAAATTGAACTGTCCTCTCCCAGATGCCCGTCACCTACTTGCAGCACATACAGCTTACCATTCTATTTGGTAAGTTTTCCTTCATTTTTAAAGGAGGGCATATTGAACATGAGCAAAGGAGTCAAGGTCATGGAATTTAAACAATAAACTTTTTAGATTTTAAGTTGGCATTTGATGCTAGCAACAACCTTATCAAGGGCTGATACTGCCCAGTCTTCTACCTTCAGCTCCAATGTGATTTTCTTTCAATATGAAATTACTAGCTATTATTAATACTAGCTATTAAATACCCATAAATGTTTCATAACAGTCTCTCTTTACACAGAAGGTGCTACAGAAACTTCCTCTCTTGCCCTGTCACTCTCCCCAACTCTAAATTTCTAAACCATGTCTTTATTTTCAAATATATGCATACACAACTTAAAAGATTACTTCCTGGGGAAACTGTAATTAGAATGAAAATTCTATTTCAACTTGTTTCTTAAGTGAATAATCTGCTCTTAAAATGGCAATAAGGAGTCAGGACTCCAGTTTTAAATCCTGATGTTTCTATGTTGCATTGGAATATTGGTTTGGCATGAACTAACTTTCAATCAAATATTTGTTGTTTTAATTTTATTCATTTTATTTACATCTCTAGAACTCAAACACTCCATGTATTACGTGGTGAATTTTTACAAAACTTCCATTCATAAGTGATTTTGATATCATGCTTCATTAGCTATTTGGCAAGAATAGATACCACATTTCTTCTAATTCAATTCATCCATAATTGATTTGCTGAGAACACTAACTTAAAAGTATAAACCAGAAATCAATGTGTAATTGAAAATTAGCCACAGCCTTATTTCCAAAATTGTTTCTCAAGATAGATTAATAGTTCATATATAATTCAATATTATATACATACTTTATATGCACATAAATACATATAACATACATACCACATATAGATGAGTCTAAATAATTTATTTCAATTCTTTCATCTCAACTTGTTGCAAAATTCACAAGTGACTACAGTTCAGACCTCTTAGGGAAAAATGTGCTTATTTTAAAAAGAAATTTGAGAACTTTGGTTGTTTTGGTTCTATTACTGAAGTAAAGGTCCCTTTCCCATTCATGAAATCTTTAAGAATAAATATTATTCAGAAAACAGTAAGGTTTTAATTGAGCATTTTAAGTAGGTAACATAAAAAGTAGATAAATTTACCTCCAAGTAACTAAGAAAAATATCTCAGAGATCTTCAGTATGATCTTCTATTCTCTCTGTTAAATGCTGGCTAATTCCACAGTCTTAGTAACTCAGAAACAAACTGGGAGAAATGAGAGTTGTTGGTGCATAGTTTTAATTAAGAAGTTTGGAATGGGAGAATTAACTCAATCTACTTACAAATTGATGCTTGTTCACAGTGTAAGTAAATTTCTTAAGCAAACAACAGTAAGAAAACCCATTGCTCTATGTTAGCTCCCGAGAGAACCCCAACACATTAAAGAATTATAATTTATCTCTTGTTGGTACTTACAATGACAAAAATGGAGAGTCCCTCATTCACAGCCCAGTTCCCCATGGCAGCAAAGGGTGAATGTGCTGGGTCTGCCTTTCTTCTCTACTGTGCTTCTTCTTTGCATGAGGAAATGAAAACAGCATTGGGGCAATATGTTTCCTTTGCTATTATCAGAAATTAGCTAATCATTGGTCAACTGAAAGCCTGTTTCCATAACAAATTTAAATCTTTAAACCACATAAAAACTACAAAAAGAAAAATAGATCTTGTGATTCAATCACAAGTAAATGCATTGGAAAATGAAAACAATTGCTACAACTGAGAGACTATATTTGTCAAGTTTTAAAATTTGCTTTATCATTTATCAGATTTTGTGCAGTTTACGAATATATTATACACAGTGACCTATGTTTTTTTTAAACTAACTAGTTTTCTACTTGTAATTTTCAAGGTATCTGCCTAACCGTGGATAAAACGTGCATGTGCTGGGTAAAACATACCGAACACATGTGACATCTTTTGACAAACTTTTTTTATTTTGAGAAGAGTAGTTTTATTTTAGGGGAATAAAAATTTCAATATTTTCCAGTTTAAATAATAAACTGAACAGAAATGAGATTGTACAAAAATGGATTATACAACATTATAATTCTTCAGTTGATTTGCAAAAGATATAATTATTGGAACTAGAATATTTTTCATGTAAATGAAAAAGATATATAAATTTAAAAATGACTTTCTTCAAGCATTATTTTTTCTTCTCCTTTTTTTAATTTATATATTAAAAATTTCCACCTCCTCTTCTCCCATTTCCCTCCCACTCCCCCCAGTCCCTCTCCCCCTCCCTCTTTAGGGAGCAATCAGGGTTCCCTGCCCTGTGTGAAGTCCAAGCTCCTCCCCCCTCCATCCAGGTCTAGGAAGGTGAGCATCCAAACAGACTAGGTTCCTACAAGACTAGTCCATGCAGTAGAATCAAAACTCAGTGCCATTGTCTGACAAACTCTTATAGCAGTATTTATCCTCGCTGGGTAAAGTAAAAAGAGTGATAGATGATGCTTATAGAGTGCTAACCATGTTTCAGTTTTCTATCATAAAGTAGATATAGGCCTATATTGTGTACATATATTTGTGACTTGAAACATACATATTAATACATATGTATGCATACACAGAAAAATACTTGTGCCCACATATACATCGACTCAGTTGATTCTCATAACTCAATCCCTATAAGTAGGTTCTAATTTGTGATTACATTTACAGATGAGAAAATCAAGACCAAGAGCAGTGAACTTATTTAAACCCAGTTACAGTGCCAAGGAATAATGCAGGCGGTCGTTTGAAGTCCATACAACTGATGTTACCTGTAAAGTAAGGTACCAGAAAAAAAAAAGTTTAAATTTGTCAGTGCCACCTTAAGTCACTCCACACAGGAAAGGAAACTGTAGTAAAAGTACCAAAATATTTAGGTGGCAAACATGTTTCCAGGCAGACATTTTATGCTAAGTTGGTAGACATAGATCAAAGGTGTGTCAGTGTATGGTAGATGCTAAAGCTAGGTGTAGCACAACTACATCCGGCCACTCTTCTGCCTTCCAGACATGAAGCAGATTAGGATGGTACCCTGACCACGTGATCAAAGTACAAGGTGACTGCACAGCTCATAGCGAAGCCGAAGAAACAAACTGAAGCGCTGGAAGACGACTCAAGAGCACAAGAACCGAGCTACACACTCTCTCACTTGCTGTCTACAGAACACAACCTCTGGGATTGTGGCAATTAGCAAAGCAGCATGTTTTTCCCACTGCATGATATTTAAAGAAAGGTATTGTGACATTCTCCATGGTAATCAGAACATGTATAACACACATAAAGGCAAAATGACCTCCTGGGTTCATTCCCAAAATAGATAAATTCAAAGACTGGTTAGGAAATCAGAACATTGACAAGCTATATGATGATCTGTTTGCCCACCCTCTCCAAGAACTGCTGGATTTCACAGAGAACTACATTTGTCAGCCTTAGATTGATGGTTTCCGGTTGGTTTAGCTAAACTGGAATAGAGGAGAAGCCACAATGGTTCTCACCGCAGAATTTTGCTTCAAGGGACATTCACCAGGTTGGTGAATTGTTACTGGGCCTCCAGCTTCCCCTAGTCTGCCCTCCCTTCAATGTCATGAACACCTGCTAGTCAGTAGTATTGTAGGGCTCCGTGTTGCCAGATGGCCCCCGCTGTTGTGCGGGGGTGAGAGATTAGACAACCTCCTCCCAGTTCCTCTAACTGAGAGGTAACCACTTCCTGTAGTTGTTCTTTTTTATGTTGCCCCTTGTCCCTTTTGGGATTCTCCACTTTTCCATCACCCATGCAACACTTTTCTGGTGTGAAACTCCCTCTGTTGAAATATTGTGGTTTCTGTTTTTTAATTGGATTTTGAAACAAAGTAATTTAGTTTGAGTACTTATTCATGTAACTAAAGAAGTTAATCTTATATGCCTAAAGAACAATAAAACACCGTAAACACAAATTCTCTTTCTCTTCTTCACTCTCAGATTTCTTCATAAGGATGACTCCCAGTCCTTCAAGCTATTAAAAATTCAACAAGGTCTCCTCTTCTGTTACTTTCCCCTCTTTTCTCTTTCCCTGCATAATGGTTCATCTTTCCTGTTCTAAATTTTTACATTTCCCCCACTGTTTTATCATGTGCTTTCTGATGCCTGTGCCCTACTGCAGAAAAAGTGAGCGTGCCATGAACATTCACATGCTAAGGATCAATATTTTCTATTTCTTATAAACATGCTACTTGGCTATTTCCCCCTCCTTTTCCTTCCCCCTACAAGTTCAGAAGAAGATTCAAAGAAGGAAGCATTTTTGCCACAGATAAGCAACCATTCCCTTCTGTTGATTTTCCCCCTCATGAAAGTAATCACGACAGTCTGTAGCATCTTCACGAGTCTTAAGGGCCTCAATCAGTTTCACAGCTGGCGAAGATCACTTGCAATGAAAAGTAAAACCTTTCTTCCATGGAAACGAATGACCCTTTTGAGAAGACTTTAAGAAAACTGCAGTGTGCACTGCCCTTGGAAACACAGGTGGAAAGGGTGATAAAGGAGCAATGGGATTAGCTGCGTAGTACTGATTACACACAGAGAGGGAAAACACTCAGACCTCTGTATTAGCTAATGGGTATTAGCTAAGGGCACATCTTGTCGCAGTCCCTTCAGCTGCCACTGTCTCTTGAGCTGTTGACATTCAGTGAGACTATGGAAAACTTAAGCATGAACTCACAAGCCCTTGAGACAGAGGAGAGAGGCAGCCCCAAGTTTCAGAATATTCCCCGATTTCACTTCTTGAATGTGATTCTGTTTTCTGCCTTGATAGCTCAATCTGCAAATTATATTTTCCCCAAATTCAAGAAAGAAAATTGCTATAGAAAGGGAGATATGTACCTACATCAAATGTTCTGACGAATTTTGTTCTTAGTCCTGATGAAAGTGTGCTTCCCTTCTTTTGTAGCTAGCTTGGGTTTGCTAGGCTTTCCAGAATTGTCATGTTTAGCTAAATCTGAAAGTATGGATGATGTGGTCCCATATTCTTTGCCTAAGGTTTACTACCAAGAAGTCCCCTTGGACACATTGATTGTTCTAGGTGTGGGCTCTTGATATAAACAAGACCAACCATTGTTTTTGCATCCTCTAGAGGAACAAAATTAAAACGTTTTTCTCTTCCTGTTTGTCAGTGATGTATGCCTTGCGTGACCACAGTCTGTCTCTACTATCATGTGCTCATAAGTCTGGATAAGAATTCTACCCAGACATGAAGGAATAGAGTTAGAAGTGACTGGGAAGCCTCCTCCCTGAGGACCAGCTCTCACAGATCAGAAGGTACTGTGAAGCTATCCAGGGAGAAAAGCAGTCATGAGTCCTACCCAGATGTAAAACCTACAAACCACAACAATGACTGGCCAGGCAATTGTGGCACTTTAATCTTTGGGGTAGCCAATAGCTGTCTAAATGGACTAAAGGCACACTCACTAGGAGGGAATTCATGCCTGGTACAACGAACCTAGGCAACTGCTAGTGACTGGGGCAGTCACAGACCTTAGAGGAGAACCTAATACTGCCATTTTCCTGACCCAGTACAATTTATAACTGTATTCGAATCATTTACCCTTATACCCACACCAAAGAAGTTTATCTCGTCCCTCACCAAAGAAACTTCTTTTTGCAGCAATGGCTACTATGGAGATCCACAACTGGTCAAAGCTTAGAGAATAAGGGACTGTGGGATACTGTTTTGTTTGCTTTCTGTTCCTGTGAGAAACACTAGGACCAAAAGCAACATAGGTTTATTGTATCTTACAACTCCCAGGCCCCATGCCATCACTGAAAAAGTCAGCACCAGAACTTCAAGAATCTGGAGGCAGGAACTGAAATAGAGACCATGAAGGAATGCTGCTTACTGGCTTGCTCCTCATTGCTTACTAAACCTGCTTTCTTATACAACCACCTACCCAGGGGTGTCACCACTCAGAGTAGTCTGAACCCTCGTTCATCAGCCATTCGTCAAGAAAATGTCTCACAGACAAGTCACAGGCCAGTCTGATGGAAGCAATCCCTCAATTGAGGTTCCCTCTACCCAGATGACTCCAGTTTCTATTGAGTTGACAAAACCTTACTGTCAAAGGTGAGTCCCAATGATTATATCTACCATGCAACCTCTACACTTAAAACTCAGGAAACATAGAGGAAGAAGGGGCACAAAGATTGCAAGAAACAAGACTGGGATGCCTGCTGCTGCTAGATAGTGCCTTGACAAGGATGTTGTACCCATAAAATCTCAACAATATGGTTGCCAAAATAAGACTCTCATAAGGATAGTACCAATCGGTGTACCATTGTTAATGGGGGAAATCTCACAAGGCCCTGCCCCTAGATGAAGTGCTGTAAACAATCGGTGGCTGCAGAGGGAGGGGAAAAATTACTTTTTTTCAGGGGTTAAGCACCTTGATAGATTATCCAATCCCAAGTTGTCAACCTCAAACACACATTCATGCAAGCAACTC